ATGACCCAAAACACACGGCCAAGGCAACAAAGGAGTGGCTCAAGAAGAAGCACATTAAGGTCCTGGAGTGGCCTAGCCAGTCTCCAGACCTTAATCCCATAGAAAATCTGTGGAGGGAGCTTATTAATATCAGACGAGATCAGGCACTTCATCCCAGGTAGCAGTGTCTAAGCCAATTAATTGGACCGCCGTTTCGAATTTTTATTCAGGTGTCGCTGTGGTCCATCGCCCCCCCTACCCCCCCTACCCCCCCTACCCCCCCCCCCCAAACAAGCCTCCTGGGACAGGCGATGGTGATCCCGTGAGCAGCACGAGGCTGAGACGTGGGCACTCCCAACTGAGCGAGCGAGTCTCCGATCGCTCAGGGGGGTTTGGTTCCGCGTCTATTTTCGCCACCTCGAAAGGCGAGCACAAACCGTCTGGTCGCGCCCCCCCCCCCCCCCCCCCCCCCCGATTAGATGCCACCTGAATCCTTGCCAATGAGACTAATTGTGGTCTATTTGAGTTCTCACCTGGGAAAGTAAACAAATAACTTGACTTGCTAATCTGGCTTGACACGGTAACTTTACTTGTTGGCAAACGTTTATGTGTGAAAAATATTTTTTTACTTTTGTTGAACCTCGTTTGGTAGAATTTTATGTTATGAAACATGATACAGGTTTTTTTTTAAAGATCAATATTGGGTGTGATATTTTTAAGTGAAGCAGACACCAGGAGGCTTTCCTCCCCCCCCCCCCCCCCATACGGACCACCACGACCTTCTCCACCACGACATGGGAAAACGCGACAGTGAATTCACCACTCTGGATAAGGGGTGACATTTTGCATATAGATTATTTCTTGTGAATTCGAGAATGTGAGAAAGAAAATCGCATAATTCCACCCTAACCCCATTTCTGGGCTTTGCATTTCCCATTTTTTTCCTCCCCAAACAAGTACCAGTTATATTTCCAATATCTGTTGTTTGGAGAAAGGGATGGATAAAGTATATATAATGGAAAACCTTAAAAAAAAAAGAATAAAAACCGACTCGCACCCAGGATCAAAATGTATCCCTCATATTTGCAACCAAAAGGTCACCGGTTCAAACTCCCGGCACAACAGTTTTGAGGAAATCGGGAATATGTCCTAAATCCACCTAGTCCCCGTCCGCCCATCAGTATAGGTGGGTACACCCACAGTGAGTCCATTAGCGGGTCGCGTGTGGAGGGGTAAATAACGGGGACTCCGTTACTCGAGCTCCCACTCCAGAATTCCCTCTCCAGAGCTCCCTCGCTACAGCTCTCACTTCAGAGCTCCCTCTCCTTAGCTCACTATGCAGAGCTCCAAATCCAGAGCTCCCAATCCAGAGCTCCCTCGCTAGAGCTCCCTGTCCAGAGCTCCAACTCTAGTGGAGGCAATTACTCCGGCACTAGCATGAGCAAGCAATTGCAAGGGCTGCACCTGTACCTCCACATTTATTTGTATTTTATCATCTTGGTTTCTATATCATCCTTCCTAATGGAAATCCACTGGCCAATTATAATTGCAATTCAGAGGTAGTAACGCTTAATTAGTATTACTCTCTTTTTCCTGTGGAATATGTGGGATAATGGCTCCCAGACGACTCTCTCGAGAATCGAGACCCCAACGGGACTCCCTTTGAAACAGCCGGCAGAGCAGACATTCTGCTCCGTCACTTTGCCTTCTTGTACCCCTCTCTCTCTCTCTTTCCACTGACTAATAGCCCACGGATAACGAGATTAATTACAGCGTGTATTGTAGTCGAGATGGGCACTGGTGAATCGAGATTATGCTTCCTCGAAGGCGTTATTAGCCTTCGTTTCTTTCAGGGCCCAAACTCTTTCGCAGAATCCCGCACTTACACGTCTCTTGAGATGGTAAAACTCTGTATGACAGCTGCCGGGTATAATTGCTGCACTTGACAATTGCAGGTTTCAGACGGGAGCTGGTGGCACAGTCGGTTTGTTTTTTTTTTTGCTCAGTGTCCTACCAGTTTTACCATTCACGACAAGACATCCGGGACAAAGAAAATAGCTTCATAACTCATCGGATTCCTCCAGTTTAAGATGAAGATTCTGACATGCAGCTGAGATATCAATACAATATTTAGTATCAAATTAATCCAACATGTTGGTGGAGTGGTGGTGCAGTGAGTTCGACTCCCCTGCCACGTTGTATCCGAACACGGGCCTTGTACAACCCCATCACCAACACGCATTGGGGTCAAATAATAGCCATGACATGGACACTGCGTGAGGAAGCCTTCATCCAGCAGTGGATTTACCAAGGCTGTAAATAATAGCAATTTAATTCTAGATTTGAAGCTTTCGTGGCTGCAAGGATCCATGCTCTTTGGTTCTATTCGGTAAAGTCACGTAAAAGTATAAAGCAACAAAAAAATAAAAATACTTTTACGGGACTTTACCGAATAGAACCAAAGAGTAATAGCAATTTAATTCGTTTAATTATTGCGGGCTCGGTGTGTCACTGCCGATATGAAGGCGTGCTCTGGTTTAAGAAAAAAAAAACACGGCCGGCCATCTAAACAATGGATGAGGCTTCTACGTGGGTGTGATGGAAAGTAATTAATGATTGCCTACAGGGCACGCATTCATTGCTCGGCAATCGGCAGGCGCAGAAAGACGCCGCTCGTCAACGTAGCCCAACGTGCAGGTCCAATTCGCAGGCTTGGATAAACAAATTGCCGAATTTAAGTAAATCATTGCGAAGATTAAATCTTGACTTGAAGCTTTCGTGGCTGCGGGAATTAATATTCTTTGCGTTGCGATCGAAACGTCGTAGTTGTTTGTTTGTTATTTTGTTCTTTTCTTTGAACCTATCGACGTGACTTTACCGAAAGACCCAAAGAATAATTGCGAAGATTGTTTCGTAAAAAAAAAATGTGATTGCTACGTGAGGCATATATGTAAAAAACCCGTTTGCTTTGCATGTCAATGAAGACCCACCGGCTATAGAGTCTAGACTTAGAGTTGCCGTAATCGACTGAATCTGTACACTACGATTGTATTGCCGTTCGATTTTGTTGTTGTCTTGAAGTTTGCAAAATAAATGTAGGAACTATGACATTGATAAATGTTTTCCTATTAAAATAAGACCAATTGCCTCATACCTACCCCCTTTTCTACTTCACCCTCTCATCTCCAAATCTCCAACACGGACTTTTATGTAAATTGACATTGTTATTTCTTGACTTAAAGCTTTTGTGACAGCAGGAATTCATATTGTTTGAGTCTTTCGGTAAAGTCACGTAGATAGGTTCAAATTAATAAAAATAAAATATTCAAAAAAACTACGACGTTTCGATCACAACACAAGCGATCGTCATCAGGACGTCATCGGGACGATCACTTGTGTTGTGATCGAATCGTCGTAGTTTTTTGTATATTTTATTTTTTTTATTAATTTTAACCTATCTACGTGACTTTACCGAAAGACCCAAAGAATATGACATTGTTATTGTTTGGGGGGGGGGGGGGGGCTATAGTATATGGGTGCCACCGTCCCAGATCTTCCAGATGGGGGCGGCAGATCCCCTATACCGGCTCGCACCCAGCACTTCTTACTTTCGTATGGCAAGGTGACATTTGCTACATTTTCTTCGCGTATGTTATTGTTACTAAGCCATGCAGTATCCGTTGTGGAGGTTTAGCGGATGCCGGTGATACTGCCAACGAATTGACGGTGCCGGGGGGCAGTGTGTGGGATCACGTGATCCATGGTCTTCGATACGGTGGTGGAGGAGGTGCAGTGTGAGATCACGTGATCTATGGTCTGTGAATCGGTGGTGCAGGGGGCAGTGTGGGATCACGTGATCTGTGAATCAGTGGTGCAGGAGGCAGTGTGAGATCACGTGATCCGTGAATCGGTGGTGCAGGGGGCAGTGTGGGAACACGTGATCCGTGAATCGGTGGTGCACGGGGCAGTGTGGGATCACGTGATGCATGGTCTCTAGTAACCGCAGCATTCTCATTGCGGACTGCTCTTCAATATCCATCAATGAGGGCGGTGACGCCCCAGCCCTGCCACTCCCTTCCCATTCAGGAGGAATCCCGCAACTTCTATGAATCAAAATGTCCACGGTTTTTTTTATTCACCGCATTTGAGCGACTCGCCGCTTTCCAGAACGCAGCTCTATGTCTGATTACCAGCCCATCAACTTTTGGATTTCTGATATTTATACGAGGTCGTTTGCAACAGTGCAAGCGTCCGGATTAGAGTTGCCTATTAAGCAAACAAGGTGCAGCCTTGCAGTTTCCTTACTCACGCCACTGCTTTTGGAAGGAGAGGCCTCCACTATGGGGAGTTCAAGAGAAAGCCCCTTCTAAAGTGGGGGTGTTTGGCCTCCTCTTCCACGCCGGACAGACCTCTTGCAAGAGACGTCTGATGTATCGCGTGCTACAGATTATGGTGAGGGGGAGTTACAAATATTACATAGAAAATATAGGGGGAACATAGACATGGAGTAGGGAGAGAGGGGGTAGAGAGAGAGAAAGGGGTAAGGAGAGCAGAGCGTGAAATCTATTGTGAAATCTTTCATTTAAAAGGTAGGAGGGGGGGGGGGGCAGTTACATAAAGCAAAACATAAAAAAACGAAATGATGAACGAAGCAAAGTGCCAACTACACCGATCATCTTCTTGTTTCCTCTGATCGTTTAAAAAAAAGAGAGGGCTTGATTTCAGTCGGAGCTGTCCGGGGCTGATCTCTGAAAAATTACCGCGCTTCTACCGATCCCTGCCACGGATCCCTCCCGCCGATCCCTCACGCTGGGGCCCTGACCTATCGACTCCCCCGAGCCACTGGCTTGCAGTGTCACGCACCATGGCGCCCTCCGGCGGACACGCGTTTGTGTGTGTGGTGGTGGTGGTGGGGGGCAGGGGTGCCTCGTCTCGCGTGACGTCACAGAGGACAATGGAAGGGGGGCGGTGCCTTTGTAGTGGCGTTCCGTGCTCACGCATTGAGAGAATAAGAGAGAGAGCGAGAGAGAGAGCGAGAGAGAGAGAGCGGTGGGGGAAGAGAGGCCGGACACGGGCAGGGCAGGCGGAGCAACTTGCGTTTCTCTCCCCCCCTCCTCCTCATTCTCTTCCTCCTCCGTCGCTCTGCGCACATCACGCCTCGTCTCCTCTCCTCTGTCTTCTGTTTCCACACGAGTCTGCGCCGCAACTTCGTGTGCAGCAACAACAACAGCCAAAAAAAGTGCCGATTTAAAGCAAGCCGGTCCAGTGCAGTGGCTAAAAGGGGACCCGTATGTGGGTTGGTTTAACGAGGAAGTCTGCAGGGCTCGAATGTTTTCACGATGCGAAGTCTTAGCAGCTCCTTGAGCCGAGCGCAGCGCGCGTAGTCGTAGCTGGTAGTGACAGTGGTGATTCCAGTGGGGCTCCGTTTCGTGTCGTTTGGTTGCACGCGTTATTTCCGCTCAGCTATGCCGAAATAGTTTGAAGCGACTTCTTCTCGGCTCGGCCGTAGGGAGGGAGACGCGTCCCGGTGTCCACGTGCGGTGTCGTGTGGTGCGGTGCGCATACAGTGCACGCACCGCGCTACTTAGGCGCGCAATACGCCCGGCGCCGGATTAATTGATAGAAAGAACCATTCCCTGCAGCCTGGGGTGGTCGGAGAGGCGGTTCAATTGCTCGCCACGTCTCAGATTTAAAGCAACAGAAACATCATCGGTAAAGCGGGCAGCATAAGCGGCGGTCTTCGCCACGTACGCCGATTGACGCGTGCGGTTACTCCTCACTGTGACTCCGTAACCCAAACAAACCCTCTCCCCCCCCCCCCACCACCAATGCCATCGCGGGCTCTCATCAGCCCACCAACAGCTCGCGTCACCGGTGGCTTGGTGATGATGATGATCAGTCTGACAAGGATGGTGGTGATGAGTGCGGCATGAATTCGACCTCGTTCGCTTGCCTCAATCAGCATTATTCTTTGTTTGAACAAAAAGAAGCTCACCGAGGAGGGTTCGTCTGACAGCGTAGAGGAGGATTGTGCTTGTAAGGGAAGAGAGTGTGGCTGTTGTGTGTGTGCCTGGTTAGCCCACGCATAGCATAGGGGTATAGCATAGGCGCACAGCCGAGTGCACAAAGGGCTGCGTGGTCTTAGGGATTCTCCAACCGCCGTGTCACCATCATCTGCTACACGTTGGTGTCAAGAGGACTTTAAACATGTTGGTGAAAGAATACCGGATCTGCATGCCGCTCACTGTGGACGAGGTGAGTTCTCCCTCCCCATGTGCGTCTCTCTTTCTCTCTCTGTCTCTCTCGATCGCGCTTTGTTAACAGTGCAGTTTTTTTATGGTGACGATGATGGTGGTGGTGATCCATGTGTGTGCTGTGTTGTGTGCGCACCATCCGTGCGCGCTGTGTAGCCGGGTAGTGAGCGAGTATAATGTTTTGTATAAGACTAAAATTAAATCATAATATTCTGCTCTTTGTCAACACATACCTGGGTGAGAAGTATTCCGTCGGGTTCATTGATCACATTTCACCAAGCAGGGCAGTACGTGTTGGTGAAGGGAGTGGGAGGTAACAGGGCCGGCTCAGATACCGCAAGCCGTTGGATTTGACGTTAGCCTTGGCTGGGAATCGAACCAAGGTCGGCGTGGGGTTTATAGCTTGGCGCGCTAATCACTGCCCCACCGCTCCGCACTTGAATTGCCCGTCAAACGTAATAAGTGTCCCTGTCAACGCGGGCGTGGGGGTGGCGCTCATCCCTGCCCCCCATCCCCCGTCGACAGCAACTGGGAGCAATGGTGGTAATTCCACGTTCCTATTACGGGGCCAGGCTTGTTAATGCGACACAAAAAAAAACTATCGCTGTTCAGTCCGAGCATCGCTCTATCGCGCGTAAAGTGAATTTTACCGTGAGCTAGGGGGCAATGATCTTAGTGGCACCTGAGATTGCTTGCTAAGGATGATTTGAACGCCGACACTTACTCGAATTAAATCTTTGCGCTATTTCTTTTGTTGTTGTTAAATTGGAAACCGCATGCTGTACGTGGTCAATTGTCGGTTGTTGATATCAACAAGAGACGCTTGCCCGGGATCGAGCTCGCGTCTGCTGTGATGCAACCGGATTGAACGTTGATTGAATAAATCCATCCTGATCGGGGGGGGGGGGGGGGTGGGGCGGGCAAATGGTCTTTCTTTTTGTAAACGCACTCTCGACTTATGTCAGAAGCTGGACACAAACACAGCCACCGCTGATGATAGAACGCACGTTGTTTGCTGGCCATCGTACGAGACGCGCTCGTTTGGCTTTGAATGTGAAATTTCAGTATGTTGCTCTGCATCTGAATCAGCCGTGCGCGTAAGAAGAAGAAGACGACGATATGCAACGAAGCACCCACGACCAAAAACGCCCAACGGGCTCGGATGCTAAGCGGGGTTGAGCCTGGATAGTCGCTCAGATTGGGGGCGACGCTCCACCAATGCGCATAGAGCAGGTGTAGTGGGCATCGTCGGCAGGAGAGGGCAGCTCAGCAAAATCCATTGTCCTCTGCGCCTGCCGCCAGCGTGGGGTGAAGTATGGTCAATAAAGCCGTCACACTGCCCGCAGTGTACTGACTAACGTATAGAGATAAAGATTCCCCCCCCCCTCTTCCCCGTATAGCCTGAACAGAATGTTGGGGCAAGTGTTGTTAGCGAGCACCTATTAAGGGCGACACTGGCGCACAAGAGGGTGGGTGGCCAGCACCACGCCCGGCCGCCTTTGTCCCCCCCCCCGAGTAGCGATGTTCACTACGCACCGTACCGGCTACTCATTTGAGGCTGAGTCGACCTAAGGGGAGGCCCATGACCGGTTCAGATAATCGTCACTGATCTCGGCTGCGAGCGGAGGAATCGAACTCGGGTCACCGGGTTCGTAGCACAGCGCTACCAACTACCCGCAGACGTACGGAACGGAGTCACGGTATCGTAAGCGTCCGCTGCGTGATGTCTCGCGTATGGCGTGCGTTGAGCCGAGCATTGGACGTGGAGCATCGCCTGTGTGGTTTACTCTTCGTAGTGGTGCAGGAGAGACGGCAACAACAACAACAGAACAACAACAACAACCCCTCATCCGAACGCATGATGCGCATGCATAATGTACGTTGACTCAGTAATCCCCCCCCCCACCACCACTTTTCGCAAGAGCGCAGAAGCGTGGTCACCACATCTAGCCCTCTATGTAAGGGGCCATCCATTGAGTAGGAATGCAAAAATCTGTCAAAACTTGACCCCTCCCTGTACGCACGCGTACTTTTTACCCCCCTCCCCCACCGGCGTACGTACAGCCTGACGCACCGCCCCCCTCCCCCAAATCCTATAGAACGGCCGATATTTAATCTACGCAGAAACGATCAAGGATGAATAATATTCACGTGTTTAAGCAAACAGATAGTCCACCGCCGGGCTATCTAACTCATTTGAAGGCCAACGTAGACAAATTATTATCGAGGCTTCACCCCCCCCACCCGTTTCCTATGCGAACGTACATTGTCAGTAGACCCCCCCTACGCAAGTGTACGCATTTGGGTTAACCCCCCCTCCCCCCTCCATGCGTACGTACTAAGTGGATGACCCCTAAGGAACGAATCAGGTGGACTTCTCCACAAATCTGGCTGACGCCTGATGAAGCTGGTTGCAATTACTGGCGAAACGTCGTACTCGGATTGTAAATGTTGTGGCTTGGCTTTCCAACACACCGGGTGTTGCTGCGCTAGCGACGAATTGGCCACGTTCTGTTTACGTGCCAACCCTTTACTAGTTGGCTGTGTCGGGTGGTGGCGGGTTTTGACGACACATTTTATATATTTACGCGATCTAAAACCCAACAAAAACCTCTATTATGGACCCCTCATCCCTTGTAAACGCGGACAAAGCGATCGCCCTCCTAGCGACTCGGCTCGCGGAAGGGACGAAGAGAGAGAGAGAGAAAGAGAGAGAGGTTTTTCGGCACCGTGTAAATCGTCAGCACGCAGCAACCGCGTCGCGTGGAGTTGCCACCACCACGTTTGGTGCCGGAAGCTCGCCTGGAATCTAAAAGAAAACCATGATCCTACAATTACCGTAGGGCATGGGGGGGGGGGGAGTCTCGTGGTGGGGGTTTGTGAGGAGCGGAAGGATGACGGTGTTTACTTAAACGCGTTCCCCAATGTAGCCCCCCCCCTCCCCACCAGCCCCCCACTATGTAATCCAAACCGGCCGGTTGCTTTGTGGAATGTTTTAACAGGGTGCAGGAATGGGGGGGGGGGTGAAACCACGTTTGATTTAAATTTTCCGCATGTATAAACTTTACCAAATATATCTTCAGTTGGTTTGGGGCTGCCACAGTGGTTGCAACAGTTATACACGCAACGGAATTCTGTTTCTATTCTATTTTTATTTTACCAGGTAAGGCCCACTGAGCTCTTTTTTTTGTTGCAGAAGCGGCCTGGCACCACACATGATAGCTCAACGAAGTGGCTTTAATAATCGTGTGGAAATGCCTAAGCAGCAAAATCCTCTACACGCGTGATGTTGATTCTAAAAAAAAAAAACTGGAGAACCCGGAGAAAAATCCACGCGACCACGGTGGAGAGAGAGAGAGAGACACGCAAACTCCAAATACACAGGCATCGTCAGGGTTGGGATCGAACCCACTACCTCCTGTATACCAGGCGAGGTAGTTAACATCTCGCCACCGTGGCATCCTAAGGTTTACCGGTTCTAAGGTTCATCGGGTCGCGTGTGGTGGGGTGTAACCGAATCACCACCCTAAGGGTGCTCCCCAGAACTTCTTCTGGTTGAGATCCTTCCGCCAGCAGTGGCGTGAGCAAGCAATTGCAGGGCTGCGCCTTCACCTGCCTTCCTGTGGATTTTCGAGGCACCAGGACATGATTCACGCATTTGGCGAATGTTGCTTCTGTCCAATGCGAACGTGTCGCTGCCTCGAGCGCTCACAATGGGGACTGATTCACAAAAGCCATGTGTGCTTGGCATTTTGTCAGGACGTCAGTTTTGGGCGGCTGCTTTTACTTTGGTGAAGTCGGCAGTCGTTGTCCCGTCATGGCAACTGTATCAGAATCGGTATTTATACTGGAGGAATCAGATGAGCTACAAAGCTCCTTTTTTTTCACAGATGTCCAGTAGATTTTCCACTTGCCGGCACGGGGCTACCCACAGCATTGAGCATTGGCCTAAAACGGTACCGTCATGCTCGCTTGAGCGCGAAAACGCTATTTGGCTTAATTGTATCGACACCTGATTAATTATCTGGCTCGCAACACGTCTTCCAAACCAATTCCTTATCGCGCATCCGACAGCGGTGTCTACCTAGCTTCAACCTGCCATGCCGTACGTCGGCCTTGGTGGTTGGGTGGGGGGCGGGGGGGGGGGACAGGTTCCAGACACAGGTGAAGGTCTCCGGTACAGCTAACCATTGGGGAGGTGTCTTCGTGACAACCCCACACCGCAGCTGCGGCACCATACACTCGGCGTCGCGTATTGTCGATGGCCGTCCACTGGCTAAGGTCAGCGGAGGGCTACGAGCACTGCCCAAGGTCACCGAGGAGGTCACCCGCACGCGCATGGCTGGGCGATCGCGGACACGCCGGATGAACACGCATTGGCGATGTGGGCAACGGTTTGGAGTGTTCGACGTGGCGGTCCACTTTTAAGGTGACCCGTTAAAATGACGAGGGAGGAGTTCTAGAGGAGACGGAATTTCAACGTCGGTGCCTCCTACGTGACCCCCGCCCAATCTCGGTGCGCTCGTTCAATCAATATCCACATTAAATAACTCTTCGTCGGTGAGATATGCGGCCATAGCTTCCACAATAGTCAATCACCTGTTGAGAAAAAAGAGGGTCGTAATGTTCTATAGTACAATTTGCAATAAAATGCGATAATACAGCATGTGCGACCCATTACTTTTTTACAACAATGTTCCAATGTCAAGCTCGAGCCGGACAGACACATTGCTCACGATGGCACTTGAATATGCTGCATTTCAAGTGATGCAACAATTCCCTCCGTCCGTGGCATCGTTGTACAGGCAAAGGTGCAGATGAGTGCTCACGTGCGCTCGCCTGTACACTTTCAACGCGACTTTTTATTTCATTTAAAAAGCCAAATAAAAGAAATGCCCGCGCACATCTATCTCCCTACTTGACATCACCCACCGAGCCAAGCGTTCCCAGCGAGGAATAAGGAGGAAGGCACGCACGGTGGAGCGAGCGAGCAACGTGCCG